ATGACTCCAAAAGTTTCAACCTATCATTAATAAGATTAGCTGCATATCCTGGAGTAATAAAAACGAGACTGAGACTGGAGATGCATCACCTTAAGCAGCAAAAATTGTTCTCCTTCAGAGATCCTATCCACCTAAAAAACAAATGTATCCCAACCAATCCAAATTTTACCCAAATAAGTCGATGAGTACTTATTTTTTTGATAAGTTAAGTAGATGAGTACTTATTAGTGAAACACCAATTTATTCTAATAAAAGAAGAAAATTTTGAAAATCTCTACTGCTTACCCCTTGTTTCCAACTGACACACCAAAGAAAGAGAGAGAGTATTCCTCACCTCCCTTTGTCTCCTGGGCTCATTAACCTACACTCCAAGAGCCAATCATTGGAAAATTGAATCAGGAGAAACAGCCCCAGTTTTACTTCTAGTGATCCTATTAGTCCCTTGCACCACCAGCTTCTTCTTCTGCTTCTTATCTTTATCTGCAGCCTCATCTTTAGGAGGAGGAGAAACAGCCTTACCAACCTTATTCCCAGCAGCAACACCATGATTAGGACTAGCAGGAGGAGTTCCTTCTCCTCCATTATCACCCCTTCTAAGATTACCAGATTGCTCCATACTCCGACAATTTGATTCAGCACTTGGTACTTCCTTATGAACCAAATCAGGAGGCACCTCCTCCCGAGAAACAGAGTCTCCCATAGTGGCCAGAACATTAACATCATTCGTAGAGGGAGCCCTCTCATCAGATGGATCAATCTCAACAGTCCCCTCAATTTCTGTATCTGTAGAACCAAGAGCATCAAATTTGTTCTGAACAACAACGGGAACCTGAACCACCCACTGCCCAATAGGTTTTACTTTGGGCTTATCAAGCACCTTCTTCGGACATTGGGGCTAGGAAGATGATCAATCCAGTTAAAAAGAGAACAGATTTGAGGATTCTAATCATACGAAAATGTAACCTCACAATCCTCATCATGAATCTTGATAGCGAGAAACTCAGGTAGAGGTTGTTTCCGATTGACTTCCACCATCACTCGTACAAATTGGTTACGTTCACGAACTGATTTTTCATCCATATACAATGGACTACCAAATTTTGGAAAAATCTTTGAAACAACACATTTGTTGCAGTAGTGAATGGGCAGACCATAAATCTTCAATCACAATGGAATCAATTCTAACACATCATGATCTAGATTAGCCGTTTTATTCCTTTGTTTTCAAGAACAATTGGTCTACCTTCAAACGTGTGAAATCATTGCAGGATCCCCTCCATTTATTAAGCATTATCAAATCGATCTATGAAGAAGCCGTCTTTGAGTGAGACGAGACAACCTTCAGATCTTTCCCCCATCTACGTCGCACAAAAGATTGAAAGAAAGGATAGTAGGGTTTCTTATCCATGACATAACAAACAAGAGAGTGCTGCCAATGTGCAATATCTTCTACACATCATCATCTGCAATCTTGATCAATTCATCTCTTCTGCTTTGTTCAGTGAACGAAAGATTAACAAAGGATCCATTAGGGGAATCTGCGAACAGGTTCCTCCATGAAGAACGTGGGGAAGATGTTGATCGAAGTAAATGACCCGGTGGTTGCATGGAGGAGGTCAAACCCTCATCCATGAATGGAAACCTATCTTCTACCTCACGTAAACCCTAGGGTATTCAAAATCTTCAAAATTGCGTATTTTAGAGAGACTCTTTTAACTATTCTGATTGTAAAGAATTCATAAATTGAAGACAAACCAGTATCCTGAAATGATAAATGTTAGTGAATAAAGGATTTGTTTTAAGGATATTCTTTAGATGTAAGGAGATCATGAGAAGGATGAAGACACACCATTCCCAAAATGATGAAGTGATTGAGGGATTTCTATAAAAGGATATCCAATATATATATCCTTATAAATTCAAAATACATATTGAGATAGGAGAATTAATTCCAAAACTTCATCATCTCGCAAATTGGAGACACTTGATTTTACATTTTCACTGGAATTGTCTTGGCACATCAATTGTAGAATGATTTCTGGTAGCAGCTTTGATGGATCCACATAACCACATTAACTGGTATTGCAAGCTAGTTCTATTACCCTGTGAATTGTCAACTATTTTAAAAGGTTATGTTGTAACGACCCGAACCCGTGGGCCCGAACCGTTTAACCGGGTCCTTACCCGAACCCGAGGTCAACTAAGGGCAATCCCCGTCCTTTTCTATACTTGCTGGGAATACACAGATCATTCAAGGGTCCCAAGGTCTTTCTAAGACACAGTTTAGAAGAAGTCAAAGTACCGGTCATGGATAAGATCAGCCAGCTGCTGGAGAAGTCACCGGCTGATGGCCCTTCGTTAGCCGGCTGACCTACAGGGTCGGTCGGCTGAAACGATCCTCAATAATTCATGCTCTCAGGACTTCAGAAAAATGACTGTTGGCCGGCCGAACATCTAACGTCGGCCGACTGACAAGGGGGGTTCGGTCGGCTGACAAAGCTTATCAGCCGGCCGAAACAACATCCATAATGTATCGACCTACTGGAATACCAAAATTTTTCACTGTCAACCGGCTGACAGGCCTTGGAATGCTGTTATCTGCAGCTAAGACATCAGATGAGGTAGGCTCATTGTGAGCCGGTCTATACCAAACCTGATACACAATTAAATCCCGAATCTCACGGCAAAACATACAGTTAGATGGCATCTATAATTTCTTAAAATATAACTGCATTTTTGCTATTCAACATTAAACCTTTACAAAATCTCAAGTTTACATCAAATATTATCAAGTGTTGTAATTACAGTGCATGGCCATGCTTTACAAAAGAAATACATTCTTAAGGAATGAGGCCTCCATGGCCAACGCTACATAGCTTAATAAAAATGAATTACAATCCTAGCTACGTCAATATCCATGGATGCCTATCATATACCGACTTGTCTCCACATTCCTGAAAAAATGTTCAATGATAATAGGATGAGCTCAACAGCTCAATAAAAAATGCTTAAATTACATTCTTAAAAATCCCGTGAACCACAACCATAAAAGAGGAGAATAAGAAGAAGGGATCATGGGGATGTCATCCATAACATCAAACATTAAATTCAATGAATTCATAATTCATTTCAACACATGAGATGCAATTGCCCTCCTCTTTCCTTCCAACCCAAACCTCATCAGACCTTTCGCAACCACCATTTCACTTCTCAACCTAACTTACACCACAACATCAATTCACTTCTCATCCTTCATTTCCCCATCATGAGTTCAATCTCACAAACCCAATTTCCCCATGAAAAATATACATGAAGTTTATGCCATTATTCATCAAAATACCATTCATGAATTTAAATCAAAAATTTCGCTCATGATATACAAAACATAAGACAACCATACAAACTATACTTCCACATTCCAACATAGAAAATAGCATGTTATACACAATTAGCATAAAACACATTAGCTACATTTTAAACCACATAAATCAACCACATATCATACTTGAACACCACAAACCACATATCATGCTACACAACAAGAAGATTTCATGTAAGAATATACATAGAAGCTCACTAAAACCATAGGACTCATAATTTAAACCTCCCTTACCTCAAGATAGCAACCCAAGTTCCAAGCTCTAAACTCAAATCCCACCAAAAGCTTGCAATACCGGTACCAAAATGTAGCCCTTGCAACGATCTATAATTTGCTAACTCCGGCTTAACCAAAACTTCTTCTAGCATGAATAAATACTAGAGATATGGGAGAGAGGAATATAGAGAGAGAATGAGAAAGGTTAGAGAGAGAGAAGGCTTGGCCGGAAATGAAGAAAAAAATATGGGTGTAGGCTTGGTCTTGCAATTGCTTGTGTGGCCTTGTGCCACTTGTCATGATCCTATGGTTACTAACTTTTTGTCAAGTTACTATCATGCCCTTGCCCTTGCCCTTGCCCTTCCTCTATAATGCCATCCTTGTCCCATAAAATATCTTCCTAATATATAGATATAGATGAATACATATATGTGAGAAAAGTCCATTATATCCCTTTCTTAAAATAACAAAACCGGGAGAAGTTCCCGAGTTCGGAAATCGTCCCGACCTCTGAAGAATTATAAAAATAATACCGTCACTCCTAATTGACTTAAAATGATTAAAAATACACTTCTAAAACTCTCGACTAAAAAAAATGACCAAATCGCCCCTCGGGGCCCACGTGGCACACAAGACGAGGCAAGGATAAAAATAATCTAGAAAAATCAAATAAATTCCCGAAAATAGAAAATAGGGAAAAATCGGTAACATTACATATGCTATTTGAGAGGGCACAACTTAAATATGTCAGTACTAGTTGTTTTGGATATAGCAGCAATGTATGTTTGTTTTCCTTCTTTGCTTAGCAAAATAGAGGGAGTATAGTGCAAATGCTCAAGTGTTTGCACGTGTCGAGGAGAGACATTGTAAGAATTCTGGAAATGGTAGAAGGTCCTCCCATGTTATATTATAAATTCAGATTTACCATGTTAATAGAATTAATCACTTGGCAGAAAAAATTATTATATAAGCATTTGGATTGTGGTACACCAACGAAAATGAGTACATTCCATTATGGGTCTTGGATTAAAGAGATACATTAGATTCTTGGATGTGAGATGCATGGTCGTTGTTGTTTCTTGTCTTGGAGACAATCACAGAGATGAAAATTTATGCTGTCATCATAAAATGTAGAAAATAATTTCAGCTGTTTTTCTTTAGAATTTTTCAGAAGACCAATGCGAGAAGGTACTTCTGTTAACATAATATGTTCATCTTTTATTTTCATGTTTCTAGATTATGTCAGGCGAACTATGTTTATTACGTCCACTTAATGCCTTAATCAACTATTTGTTGACATATTTCCTACCTATGATAATTATATTATTATTATTATTTATATTTAAATTCCAAGCTGTGTATTTCTGTTACCTTTATGGATATCAACCTGCTGATTTGAATGCAGATATACAGTAGAGAAAATCCCACTCTATGATTCTGCAGAAGAAGATGAGACTTCATCAAAGCTTCCCAAAACTACAAGCCCCTTAAAGCCTGAATTCTTAGCCTTTGGGAAAAATGATCACTCCTTGATAGTGGATGTTAGTGTGGGATCTATAAATCAGTTGGAGTCCATTGCTCTCGTTGAGCCACTTTATTCATTCCCAGTGGAAAACGCGACAGCAAATACAGTGAAAACTGAAGTAAATGAGGAGACTAAATTGTATTCACAAGATTCTCAAAAGTCCTTTCCGCAAAGCAATAGTGCAGGTCAGAATTATCACCCTGGAACAGGCTCCATCCCAAAGAAAAGAGCACAGCATATGCCTAAACAAAAGTCAAAACATGTTGGCCGAAAGCAATTTGATGCAAAACATGTTGCTAAACTATTTAAATCAAAGGAAACACAAGAGGAAGTCCTGAAATATGAGGTACAAGATTCATTCCTTGTAATTTCGATGTTGTACACACTGTACTCTCTTTCTTTTTTTTTTTTTGTCTTTTTCTTACTCCCTTCCCTTTTCCCGAGTTTTCAAGCTGTTGATGATGCATTTTGCTGTGTAATTAATTTTTATTTTCCCATTCTGAACGTTATTGGAATTTTTCTTTGGGTCAGTAATCAAGTGTTGGAATAATTCTGGTCTATAATTTTTATTTTCTTATTGTGTATTCCATGAAAAAGAATACCTGTCATAAAATACTGGTTTATCATTGTCGCTTTGTGCTTTCTATATGAGTATTGTAGGAGTATTTGGTACCATATGAGCAGATGCAGGAATATAGAACCTAATTTTTAAGTCAGCAAATACATTGTTGTAACCAGATCCTTTAATAATTTAGAACAATTCTAAGCAAATGACTTTCATCTCATTAATATCAACATTCTCACAACAATAATACACAAGTCATCCAACATCACTAAGAATTCCAAATTTCTGGCTATCATTTATTTAATTTTTTTGTTTTTTGAAAGTTAAATCTAACACACACAAATATTCATGTCCCTAGTGGAACTTGAACCTTCAACCTCCCCATTTAGGGAGGAGGGGTTAGACCATTGGGCAAGAAGCCCTTCGGTTTTGGTTTCTGGCTTTATGATCATCTTTTAATTGATTCATATATTTTTTTTCTTTCCTTTTTCCTACTGATGAAATTTTATTCATTATGCAGGAAGTGAAAAATGGTGCCACTTTCAAACTTGATTCCTTATACGACGAAATACGTCCTGCTATTGAAGAACATGAGAGAGATAGCCAAGACAGTGTGCCTACCAGTGTAGCGGAGAAATGGATAAAAGCCAGCTGCAATAAATTGAAAGCGGATTTCGACCTTCACTTTTCCATTGTCAAGAATTTTGTCTGCCCTCCTCAAAAAGCATCTGATGAAACAAAACCTTTAGAAGGTGACAATGAAAATGAAAATGAAGTGAAGCATTGACAAATTAGTGATCATGAATCATGAATGTTTTTTATTATTATTATTATTTTTTTCCCAGATTTATAATCGCGGATGTTACTTTCGACCTTGCTCCCTTTTCGTTTTGCATTTTAGTTGTTTTGAAGGTATTTTGAACATGGTGGTATCTAGAATTGTTAAATTCCTATAACTGAACTTGATCATTGATTAAGGCAACTAAATTGAACTGTTCCTGTGTTCTTTACCTTTGTTGATAAAGAAGGTTAACTTTATTGAGCTTTTGTGGTGCTGAATCCAAATATCTAACAGGAAGGACCATGCAGATGAGTTTGGAACTTAGATTTGTTATTTGCTGTGTAATCTTGTGGGATTTCCTCACCTTTGCTAAAAGGTGGAGCATCACAATTTCTGGAAAAGTAAAAGGGAAAAAAAATCCTCACTAGTTACTTTCTACTCTCTACTCGATTGGTCCAGTAAGGGGTAAAAAAACTGACTTGGCGGTTGGGTTAAATTTATATTTACCAAACTTCTAATATATACATACATCTTCCGTATATAACATATCTATTATTTAATGAATTGACTTTCACTTCATGGGTCCTATTTGGTTGAAATTTGAACATTCGCAAAAGAAAGTACGAAAATTCTAAAAAAGAATAAGAATCCAGAAAACGACCCAATTTAGAAGAAGAATTACAGAAAAAAACGATGTATATATATATATTATATTTGCTAATTTTGCTTGATTTCCTTGGCATATATCTGTGTATATATAAGGAGGGAGGTGGGAAAAAAAAAAAAAAAAATGCTTTCTTTTTTTTTTTTTTTTTTTTTTTTTGGGTTCAATCATTTTCTTTAAAATTTAAGGTTAAGGGGGTAAGATTTAGTTTGTGGTGCAAAAATTAAAGTTGAATGGGATCTATTTTTGAGGTAGGTGTATACTAACCTTAATAAATCATATGATTTGTTCTTCCTTATAATTTTGTTTGAGTAGCATGTTCTATATATATATTTTAATTTTTATTGAATTGTTTTAAAATTTAAAGTGAAGTTATTTTGCATTTTAATTTTATTTTAATTACAGTCAAAAGGTAAAGTTAGATTGTATAATAATATACTCTATATAATATATTGTGTAAAGTATAACGTATAGAGTAGTATTTGTACATTTGGTAAAACAAAAATAAATTTTTTTCTTGACTTGCTGACTTGGCGTTGACTTGGCGATGACAAAATTATGTTGGGGAGGTGGCTTTAGTCACCATTGTTAGATGCTCATTGGACGTTCATTGAGAGAGTAATTGGAGAGGATTTTTTTCCCAAGTAAAGTGGGTGTATGAGTTTCAAATTAAAAGAACAAATAGATTAATATAAATAAATATGAAGGGAGCTTATTGTCACAGACTTGGACCTTTTTCAAGCTCACGTGCAGCGTTTGCGTGGCATAACCTCTGGTTGTGTGGCGTAACATTAAAATTAAATCATTTTTTAATGTATCTATAATTCCGCACCTTTTTTTTTTTTTTTTTTTCACTTCATTTTAGAAACTCTCTCTCTCTCTCTCTTTAAGCAATGTGAAATCCTTTCTTTTAGGGATGACAATGTGGTGGAGTTGGGGTGGTTTTGATTAAACCCTACTCCACCTTGTTACAAAATATGTTCTACCAATTTTGCCCCTATTCCGAGACGGGTTTGTAATTGGTATACCATTCCCGCCCCTACTTCGGTAGACAAGGTACCGACTTTGTCCCACATACTCCGTTTAATTGCGGGGCAGGACAGGGCTAGTTATGCCACTTTTATTATGTAGTAGAAAAAACTAACCCAATGCTAAAATTTGGCTGATAAATAAGCTGTTGCACATTTATTTTGTCCCTTTGGGGACTCGAACCCTCACCATTCACTTTGAGATGTATAAGAGACACCATTAGGTCACAAGGCCTTTGGTAAAAAATAAAATAAAAATCTCTTGAATAAATTATTTATTTTGTTTGGACTCAAAAATAACAACTCAATTGAATAAAATATCTCTTTTGACATGAGGAAAAAAAAAAAAAAAAGATGAAGAATGGTCTTGGTTAAAAATATATATATTTTGAGAACAAGAAAAAGTTATTTATGTTGTTTAGCCTTCTGCACCCCCTTAAAAAAAACCCCCGGCTTGGACTTTTTCCTATCTTGGCTTCGAATTTGCCCTTCTTATATATTGGAAATAAATTCCTTAGAAAAGGAAGAAAATCAGAAAATAATAATAATAATAATAATAATCATAATATTCCCAGTAGCTAAGGGCTTGCTTGGTTTGTAACTCTGAAAACAATTATCAAGAATTCAGAGAACATAAAACAGTTTTCAGAGAACAATAAAAGTCAGTTATTTGAAAATATGCCTTTTTATAACTGAGTTTTTAGAAAACTGAACCAAGCAGAGTTATTATGTACAATTTTCTATTTTTAGTTTTTTGAAAATAAAAAACTATTCTTAGTGTTACAAACCAAAAAGTTTTCTCGTTATCTCTTGAATACAACGTCCTTAGTACTTATGAGATCCTCTATTATTTAAAAAACAAGCGGAAGGGACGAAAGATCTTCTAGGCACTAAAAATTGACATAAGCAAAGCTTATGATCGTATTGAATGTGACTTTCTCTTAAAAATGTTAGCAAAGTTGGGGTTGAATGCTTACTGGATAAAGCTCATCCTAGCTTGCATTTCTATTGTCACTTATTCCCTGATTATCAGTGGCACTTCTGTCGGATTTTTTCATTCCTCACGTGGGTTGCGACAGGATGATCTTCTTGTTGGGAAACGTATAAGTTTTAAAAACTTTTTGAAGGATTTTCATACATAGATCTTAATTCATCACATAGAGACAAGTTTTATGCAAAAATCAAATAAAAGATGATGTATCATTCAGTTAATAGATTGATTACTTACATAAAAGGTTTGAGTAAACCTTTAAATCTTTCCTCTAAAGTGAATGTTCTCACTTTTTGTAGATCCCTAAGCAAGATCCTTTCTCCTTCTTCTTGATAGTGATCTTTCCTTTAGAAATCACCCATATACCTTGATGAATGACATTGGAGGCAAGGCTTGTGGAAGCCTCCTTTAGAAGAGAAAATAAGCCCTAAAAATAGAGAGAGTAAATATATATATTCCTTTTCCTTTCAAAAGTCTCACCAAAAATATACATGGACCCTTGTGTATATAAGCAAAATAAAGATAAGGAAAGAAAATAATATATCTTTCTCAATCTGTAATTCACATATCTCAATTCTAATAGGATTCCAATATCAACTTGGACTATGGGTGAGAATCCTTTGGGCTTACTATTTTCTTGGTTACTATAAATTAATAATTGGTCTGGTCTATTAAACCATGGACCCAATTCAATTAATTCATAAATTAATTTCTACTTCACTAAAATAAATTAATTGCACTATAATTAAATAGTAAATAACTTCTAAGTCAATGTTTCACTTTGACCCCTCTATGCATAATTATTTATTGGATTATAAAGCCATCAATCCGACAACATAATTGATATAATTATTTTGTTACTTTTGATTATTTCCGGCTTGATCACAATAAAAGTTTGTTTGACAAAAATAATAATTTACTAATAAATATATAGAAAACATTTTATCTAAAACATACGAAGACTTTCGAATTTAATTTGTGATCAACCATAATCAATATAAAATAAATACAAGTAGCATTGATGCAAATATTGAGAATATAACCGTCTAACTATTAATTACATAACTATCCAAAGTGCCAATCTATAGATCCCGAAGTATCTGCCGAACAAATCAAAGTAATTATTAATTAATAAAATAGTCTATACTTCTCTCATGCTTGAAAGTCAAATGCCATGACAGTGATAGGGAGCAATTGCATACGACGACTCTCGCAATATATCTCAACCTAACGCGGATCCAGTTCAAGTCTTAGTTAATAATGAGTCCATCCATAATTACCGACTATGAACAATTTATAGTTACTATTTATATTCATGTATTGATCGCCATCACATACATATATAAATATCTATTGTAATCAAGTGGACACTATGAATCGAAAAATAATACATTGAATTCACAAATTATATAAATAATAAATATTTTAAAGATATCTCAGGAACATATGTCACTACAATCCAAATAGGAATTTGCTATACCAGGGCATATAAATCCCAATACTTCTTTCGCCGTATTTATTTATCATGTGTGCTGAGGCATTTTCTATAGCTTTCCAGTGGGCTTAATGGGCAAGAGTGTTAATGGGAGTGAAGATTTGTAGGGATGCTCCAGTCATATCCCTTATTTTCTTTATGGATGATTCCATTGTCTTTTACCAAGCCTCGGAAAATGAAGTAGATTATTTGAACCAACTTCTTCATCTCTATGAAAAGGCATCGGGACAGCAAATTAATTTTGCTAAATCTTCAATTTTCTTTTCCAAAAATGCTTCAAGGAATTTAAGAAGAAAACTAAGTATAATGTTGGGTCTATCAGAGGAAGGGATTCACGCTAAATATCTTGGAGCGCAGGCTATAATTAGTCAATCAAAGTATGATGTTTTTCAGTTTCTTCTTCAGTGGATGAAAGAACATTTGGTGTCTTGGAGGCAAACCACACTTTCCGTCGGTGGAAAGGAAATTTTGATTAAGGCAGTGTTGAATGCATTCCCCAACATATGTTATGTCCTCATTTAAGTTACCTTGGAATTTATGTCTTATGTTGATGAAGTAGGTGTGTATCTTCTGGTGGAGTAACAAAGATAGGCAGAACAAAATTCATTGGGCTCGGTGGGATTTTTTGTGTCATAGTAAGCAGAAAGGGGGTTTGGGTTTTTGCATTCTAGAAGCATTCAATTTAGCATTCTTGGTGAAACATTGATTGGTCTTTGCGAGAGGTTGCTTCACAAGATCAATATGAATGTGGTTATGGAAGCTTTGAAAGTCAATTTTACAATTATAAAACCACTACTACTATATAGTATAATTAGTAGGGATCGTCCACAAGGACCAGTAGCTTGATTCAGTTTATAATTAGTGAACAATTGATTCAATAGAAAAGACAGTTTGTTTAAAATCCTAATTAAACTAAACAATATAACAAGTGCAAATAAAAGAAAAGATAAATGAATAACGGAAGGAGATATTGAGGAACTTAGGTCATATAATCCACCTTTGGCCTTGTAATTGTACCATTGCAATCAAATTAGGGAAAATACTTGTGCAATTAAGAGTTGTGGCTATAAGCATAGTCAAGAG